ATTTTTATCTATTTTAGACACCATGACACGTTTCGCTGTTATCTATTCTATTTTTATATTATTACGTCATGACATGTTTACTGTTGACACGAATTTTAAATTTGAATATTGCTCATGTAATTAGTATGCTCCTGAAGAAGACCGAGACGGTCGAAACGTCGAGCTATTAAACCAACAAAGCTACATTGGAGTTCCGTAAGAAAATACATCATCTTTTAAGCAAAGCATATTTGTCGCACATGTTTGAGATGATTGTTAATTGCGGTGCATTATGTAAGAAGGTGTTACGAGAAACGCCCTTATTTCAGCATTCGGAGTGACATCGGTGATGGCGGTGGTTACAATCCTGCACCCTCGATCTTCAACGTGGTAACCTCGACCCTCGACCTTCTACCATAAGATAGACTCCCTTCAAAAGCAACAGAGCTTTGTCTACCAGGCAGATCTTTTAATGTATTAGCCAAAAGTCCAGAAAACAGTGATCAAAAGGCCAAGATGATGGTTTTGTCTTCTGAAACTTCAGCCTCTTGATAATTAAAGTAAGGAAAACTAATCACGTGACATTGTGTACAAGAGAACCCAAACGGAAAGATCTAACAGATTTCTCTTTTGATTGGTTAATTAAGATTCGTGTGTATTAACGACAGTTTTCAATGTTTTAAATTAGAATAATAGAGTTGAAGGATAGTATTTGCTGGTATTCAATTAGCACACTTGACGGTTTTGTTTGTAGTCCTTTGATGATTGAAGTCAGTATAAGATATTTAGACCCTTTTCGGTAGACCTGAATTAAGATGTAAGAATTCTGTTTTTCGGCCGAGATCGCAAGCAAGATTTGAGTTTCGAACCTCAACAGCGAATGAACATATATGCATAAGGGAGGTAGTTTTCTAAAGAAACTGTGGTGCTGCGTAAGTGGGGGTGACAAGATAATTTGGTCATATCAACTAAGCTGAAATTGTAAATTGGCCATCGTAAAGAGTTAAACTTAAACAATTCTTTTTCAAAGTTAGCTTTTTAACTCCTTACGGTGGTCAATTTTCAATTTCAACTTGGTTGATATATAACCAACTAAATATATGTGCACTCGAATTGTTTTAAAGATTCGAATTCTGGTTTGAATTGTGTGTGGTTTCAAATACTCTCGAACGAAAATTTTTGCTACCCACTTATATTATGTGATTGTCAATTCATGACGAGGTCTGACTAAAAAATTATGGAAAGTAATTCACTGCAAATAGAGACAGCCACGTTTTTCTTACACTATCGATCCTGTTTATTACGAAAATGATTTTTTGGGAGATCAATTCCTGTTTATACTATCGTCACTGGTCATTGCTTTTCCATCCTGTTTGGCTTTGCTATCGTAATAATAAAAGCATTGTTTAGTTTCGAGCCATTTTCAGCTGATATTGACGCGATACACATCTTGATTTCCAAGAGCAATAAACAATCATGTGAAGGGCTCGAAGCAAAAAATTAAACAGACACGCTCTTTTTGGAATAAAATCAATTCCTGTTTATGCCATCATGAATGGTCATGTCATTGCTTTTCCATCCTGTTCAGTGTTTGTCACGATAATAATAGAAGTGTTTGGTCTCGAACCATTATCAGTTGGTCGCAATAATAAAAGTAGTGTTTCGTTTGGAGTCATTATCAGCTGAGGTCAAGGCAATACACATCTTGATTTCCACAAGAAATATAGAAACTAACAGAGGGCTCAAAGCAAAGCAACCAAACAGACGCATCTTTTTGGGCTAACATTTTAACCTCAAAAGTGTTCTTCAAACATCTGGAAAAGTTGCACATAGCGGTAAGTTATAATCGTCTTCAGTAATTAAAACCCCATTAAAGTTTTTGCGACACTCTTGCTCCTATCTAATGTTAAGTTTTTCTCATGTGACTGAGTTTTCATCATGTTGTATAAGTTACTTTAAGCGTTTACACTTCCTGCCCTACGAAGTCTTTACTCTTTAAATAGTAGAACTTCATTTTCTGTCATTCAGTCAAAATAGGTCACAATTTATTTTCTCACAAAAACGTTAAAGTTTTACAAGGACAGGACTATTTATTAAGCATGTAGCCTAAATCATATTTTTAATGATGATTTAATTGGCATATTAAAGAGCTACCCCTTTGAACTTTAAGGCTTCATGACCGACAGACATTTAAAGATGATTTATTTTCAGTATTTTGCTACCCCGGCTGTAGGTTAGGAAGACAGTTATGATTTCCACCAATCAACTGCAAATCATCGCCTTGAATGTGTTGCAATTGCTTTTCGTCATCACTGAGACAGCGGGATATCCCTCGGGAATAGAGATAAAAAATGTGTCTTTCTGTGGTGAGTTTCTCTTCAGCTTGTGACGTTAAAACCCATAATATTTTGATTGCTTTTATCCTTTGACCGTGTTGTCTTTACAGGAAACTACGATAAGACAGCAAAAATCAAAATTTCTCCATGGCCTTTCATTCCTTCTGGAACCATCTTTAATCTAACTCTAACATTCACACCCGGTAAGTTGATGTCAGTGAAATTTGGGGGAGATTTTTTAATACAATGATCTATCAAATGATTTCGATCGTGCGCCGTTGGTCTTTACATGTCAGAAGATTTAGTATTTGAAACTGGGAATGTCAGTCAATATTCCCAGAGATTTCCTCATATTCCGAAAAACTATGCGAAATAAATAAGAAGACTAGGCAACAGATTCCGAGGAACACCATCGTGACGTAGAAAGAAATGACAAAGTTGCGTCCAAACCAGTCGCTAAACAATGCAACATATGGTAGTCTGCCCCCAATCTCTCTGTAAAATCAGTACTCTCTTCATTTGATCAGTTATTCTTGTGTTTTTCACGTTATCGTGTTCCCACCAACAACGTTCGAAATATCACCTTTACTTTCTCTTCCCGTGTGTGGTCCGAATGTGCCATGTTTCTAACTAGTGCTTGTTTCCAACAGCGGTAGATGTCCTTGATGTCTCTAATGAATACGAATTCGTATAGATTTGAACGGCAAGGTCATTTTTAGGAACCGGGAAGACCAACTATGCGACACGTACCCAGACTTGTGCAACTGTCCGGCTGGTGGTAAGACGTTTAAAGAGAGAAATAAAGTACGAAGTAGAAGAAAGCTTCCCGGCAATATACAACACGATAATATTGCAGTCAAATATTTCTTCAGATAACTTGTAAATTTTTTTCCTCCTAGAAACTCAAGTGAAGACTTGTTCTAAAACATTGTTAGAACCTTCACCATTTTTCAAGGTATTTAATTAATTAACGAAAACAAGCCAGCCGAGTATTTACTGTTCACCGTGTAATCAAGTGGCCCGGCCATGCAGCGCTATTTCTCTTTGTTTATATTTAATTAATATTAATATTAATACTAATATTAATATTTAATTAATTAACGAAAACAAGCCAGCCGAGTATTTACTGTTCACCGTGTAATCAAGTGGCCCGGCCATGCAGCGCTATTTCTCTTTGTTTATATTTAATTAATATTAATATTAATACTAATATTAATATTTAATTAATTAACGAAAACAAGCCAGCCGAGTATTTACTGTTCACCGTGTAATCAAGTGGCCCGGCCATGCAGCGCTATTTCTCTTTGTTTATATTTAATTAATATTAATATTAATACTAATATTAATATTTAATTAATTAACGAAAACAAGCCAGCCGAGTATTTACTGTTCACCGTGTAATCAAGTGGCCCGGCCATGCAGCGCTATTTCTCTTTGTTTATATTTAATTAATATTAATATTAATACTAATATTAATATTTAATTAATTAACGAAAACAAGCCAGCCGAGTATTTACTGTTCACCGTGTAATCAAGTGGCCCGGCCATGCAGCGCTATTTCTCTTTGTTTATATTTAATTAATATTAATATTAATACTAATATTAATATTTAATTAATTAACGAAAACAAGCCAGCCGAGTATTTACTGTTCACCGTGTAATCAAGTGGCCCGGCCATGCAGCGCTATTTCTCTTTGTTTATATTTAATTAATATTAATATTAATACTAATATTAATATTTAATTAATTAACGAAAACAAGCCAGCCGAGTATTTACTGTTCACCGTGTAATCAAGTGGCCCGGCCATGCAGCGCTATTTCTCTTTGTTTATATTTAATTAATATTAATATTAATACTAATATTAATATTTAATTAATTAACGAAAACAAGCCAGCCGAGTATTTACTGTTCACCGTGTAATCAAGTGGCCCGGCCATGCAGCGCTATTTCTCTTTGTTTATATTTAATTAATATTAATATTAATACTAATATTAATATTTAATTAATTAACGAAAACAAGCCAGCCGAGTATTTACTGTTCACCGTGTAATCAAGTGG